GTGTTCATCGAGCAGCCCATCAGGCTGGACCTGCTGGCGATCATGACGAGCAGGGTCCGAGGCAGGGCGCTGAGCAAGGGCATCCTCTGGGAGCCCGGCCGGGACACGGTGTTCCACGTGTGCAACAAACGCACTGGCGAGGTGAGGGGGGCCGGGCCGGGGATGTTCTCAGGGCAGGACTGTGCAGCTCCTGTCCTGCCACTGAACAGTAATAATAATTGTTTATATAGCGCTTTTCTGGACACTCCATTCAAAGCGCTTTATGGGTCATGGGGATCCCCTCCACCCCCACCAGTGTGCAGCCCCACCTGGATGATGCTCCAGTCCTCTCCCCACACACCAGCTCTCAGTGGGGAGGAGAGTCAGTTCAGAGATGGGGATTATTAGGAGGCCATGACTGGGGAAAGGCCAGGGGGAAATTTGACCAGGACACCGGAGTGACACCCCTGCTCTTTTCAAGAAACGCCCTGGGATTTTTAATGACCACAGAGTCAGGACCTCAGTTTTACATTTCATCCGAAGGACGGCGCCTTTTTACAGTGTACTGTCCCCGTCAATGTACTGGGACATTAGGACACACACAGACCGCAGGGTGATCGCCCCCTACTGGCCCCACTAACACCTCTTCCAGCAGCAGCCTCAGCTTTCCCAGGAGTCTCCCCTCCAGGTACTGGCCAGGCTCACACCTGCTGAGCTCCAGGGGGGCTGCCAGCTGGGAGCTGCAGGTGATGTGGCTGATAAAGAAGCAGGAGCCGGTTTGTTTTGCACAGGAGCTAAACGGGGTTCCTGTTGTCCCTGAAAAGTAGATTCAGCGCAGAGCCGAGACTCCCACTCAACCGCAACACTGGATGTCCTGCCTGGCAGAGTGCTAGCTCATGCCCAGTGAAGTGGGCAGTAATACCTCCTGGAGAATGCCGAACTGCTCTCTTGAGTTTCTCGTCTCGGTAGTTCCTCTTGTGTACAGCGTGTCACTGACAGCACTTGCAGTGAGGCGGAAGGAGAGTTCAGACAGCTGCTATAAATAGCATGAAAGGCCTAGCCAGAGGTGTGGGGGAGGATGGGGGGAAAAAGGCCAAGCGCTGTGCCGTCATCGACCCTCGGATGGGAGAATGAGATTTCGGAAGCGAATTTTCCAAGCTTGAAAATGCTTGTCCGGGTTCGGAGATATCGAGGTCTGTGACGCCTCTGTTTTGGGAACGCCGAGTAGCAGAGCCTTGCTGTGGATCAAAACCAGCTCGACTGGAGCTCGACTGGGCTGTTTGGGTGAAAGATCTCCCGTCTGTTAGCTTGTTTTTGATGACATCACAGACACTTGGGAAAGTGATGCGATGCCCATAATTCAATTCAGTTGATTTTTATATAGCGCCTTTCACAACAAGCTTGCTCCTGATGGTTTGGTTGGCATTGCTGCTGACTTGCAGTTCGCGCGGAGTAGCGGATGGATATTCCATGCTCTGCCCTGGACGGAGACCAGTGGGAGAGCTCTAATCTCCAGTGGGGATCAACCCGGAGTTAGCAGAGCTAACGGTGACAGGAGAGTCATGTGACCAGGCCAGCGCTGTGATGCATCGTCGGCCGGCTCTCCCAGTGTGACCGGCGCCCGGTGTAGAGAAGGGCAGTGGGTGGCTTTTATTGCGGAGGGGGGTTACAGCGGGCTCCGCTGTTCACCGGAGCGTGCCGCTCTCTCAGCCTGACCCTCTCGGCCGGCCCCCAGCCGGATAAAGGAATCATGCCCGTGACGAGAGAGGATCTGGCAGGCCTGGGGGCTGGGCCGGCCTGCTTCTGCGTTTGCACTGTTGGCGGGAAGGCGGGCGCCGGGCCCGGAATCGTGGATCATGGTTCTGGTCCGGGGAAGAAGATGGGTACGACCCTTCAGAGCCCGGAATGCGTACAACGGATATGGCGGCGGTCGTCCAGAGGTTGACCATACATCAGCGCGGAAACAGTTCGTTTTAATGAACCGGGCAAGGGCTCCCCTCTGCAGGAGACCAGGGAAACGATCAAGAGGCCGGGCCACAGGGGTGAAGCGAGGATCGCCCCCTTTGTTTCCACTGAAGTCAAGGCACTATACAGCAGTGTGAGAGGAAGAGAACGACTCCCTCTCTTTATCGCCAGATAACGGAAAGGACAATTCAATAGGTCTCCTTGTTTCCACGCTGCCCTCCCTCATCCTGTAGCTGTGTAGCTTGCCAGTCTTGCCTGACTCTTATCAACAACTTGTTTCTTCGAATGATTTGTAGCTTCCTGCCATGTCAGCGTTATTTGTGTCAGAATCACAGCGCCGTGTTGTTAACAAAAGAAGCGTTTTAAAGGCAAGCAGCGTTGTAGGGGGATCGAGTACCGGTTTATTCCCTGCTGAAAGGAGAGGAAAAGAAACAGTGTTTTGGCCGAGGAGCCTTCTGCAGGTGTGGCCCGCAGGCCCGAAGAAGACTCCACAGCCGAAACGTTGTGTCTCTTTTCTTCTCTTTTCAGCGCAGGAATAAACCTGTCCTTCTTCCTGTGCAGCCCACGCATGCTGACGCAGCCCCCCTACTCGAACTTTTAACAGATGCAAGGTGCCGAGATATTGCGGACTGCGATCGGCGCTTGGAGTCACTGTAGAAAGAGATGACAAAGTGCGCTGATTCCCGTGACGCTGAGATGATCACGGCGTCGTATAAAGGGAGCGCGGCGCTAACTCTCCTCTCCTCTGCCCACAGCTGAGCGCGGTGCGGTACCAGGCCAAGGCCCTGTCCATGTTCCACCAGATCAACGCCTACGAGCAGGACGGCTTCATCGTGCTGGACTTGTGCGTCTCGGACGACGGCGGGACCATCGGGGACTTCCTGATCCAGCACATGCGCAAGTCCGGAGAGGCGCTGGATGAGGTGAGGGCTGGGCTGGGCGAGACGAGGAGGCGTGTAGGGGGGTCCCCCCTGCGGTGCCCGCATTGCACCTCGCTGCTTACCGCAGGACTCTGTGTGTGACTTTGTGTGCCAGAGTCCTCTTTACTTCTCCTGAGCGGGGGGAACGTGCCGTGGGGTTCCGGGCTTGTAGGGAATCTTTTCTGGCAGGTGAGTCGGCGTTTCGATTCCACCCAGACCCCCAGATGGGCTGGGAGCCGGTCTGTGCCACCTGGAGCTCCGACGGCGTGTCCCCTTCCGGGGCTGCCCTGACCAGCTGCGTTCCTCCTCCTCTCTCCCGCGGGGGGCAGGTGTACAACGCGGTGAGCCGACCCCTCCCCCGCCGTTTCGTCCTGCCGCTGGCCGTCGCCGCTGACGCGCCCGCCGGCCAAGATCTCAACACCCTGCCGGACTCCCGCGCCATGGCCATGAAGCTCTCCAATGGCAAGGTACCCCGAGAGGGCTTGGGGGTGGGGGGACAGGGAGACCTGGCTTGATTTCTTCAAGTCCACGGAGAAGGCTTCCGTAATCGCCTGATCCGGCCCACAGCGTGTCCTCTCGGTCCCGGCAGGACAGCCTGTCTGTCTCCCACGCTGGACGAGAACATTACTTACCAGCAAAGGGCGTGTGTGGGCGTGTCTTCCTCCTCAGGGTTACCTGCTGGGGCTCAGGGGCTTTCAGAGGCACAGGCGGAGACAGATGATAATCGGGGGTTTGAGGGTCAGTCGGATCTGCTCCCTTCCAGGGGATGTGGAAGAGGGAGGGGCTTCGGGCTGGGTGGGCGTGGCTGTCGAGGGCGGGGGCGGGTTCAGGGGTGGGGGGTGGAGCCTGGCAGCCAGACCCTGTTTTCATGGTGCTGATTCTACTCGTCGGGGTGCGTGGGCGCGGAGGGGAAGGGGTGGGGTTAATGGAGCGCTGCCGGTTGCCCTGTGTGCGCCCCAGATCTTCTGCACCCCAGAGGACCTCCACGGCACGGATCTGCTGGACTACGGAGGCCTGGAGTTTCCGCAGATCAACTACGCCCGCTACAACACCAGGAAGTACCGCTACTTCTACGGCTGCGGCTTCAGGCACCTGCTGGGCGACTCCCTGCTGAAGGTGGACATCCAGACAAAACACCTGAAGGTCAGTTGGCGCAACCCCACCAGCTTCGATACACCCTTAGAAATCTTTATTTGGATTGCCCAGGGGCATCCCTTTACTGCAGTGCGCCTGGACAGTGGATAGTGTCCCCTGCGAGAGAGCGTGCCCCTCGAGGGCCTGCAGTGCCCCTCACACCCCGCCTGTGACCCCCTGTCTTGTGAGTCCGCAGGTGTGGAGAGAGCCTGGCTTCTTCCCCTCCGAGCCGGTCTTCGTCCCGGCCCCGGATGGCACTGAGGAGGACGATGGAGTGGTTTTGTCCGCGGTGATCACCCCCAGGCAGGTGAGGAGGGGCGGCCTGTGAAGCGCGTCACCCAGGGTAGCTCGCCGTGTCCGGGTGCGGTGTGGCTGGGCGGAGGGGCCGGAGCTCTCTGCTCCAGGCGCAGGGCTGGGACATCTGCTCGGGTCCCGGGGCGACACAAGGTCCCCTCCCCCCCCTCACTCCAGATCACGGCTCCTGAGGCTTCGGATCCAGCGCTCGGCCCTGGGTTCGAGCCAGCCGCCTGCTCGTGCTGGATTTGGCCGAACGGGACTTTGCGTTAACTCCCACCTCTGAAGATCCTGAAGGTGCTGAATGAGCAGAATGTGTTTGTGGACGATCAGAGACGGGCCCGTGTTACCATTCACACATTCACTGTGCTCAGGGTAGGAATTTAAGGCCAAAGAGGAACAAAGCAAGCAGATAGGTGTTCAGCGTTTGCTTGTGAGTATTCAGTTTTTTAGGTGTTATGTATATATAGATTAATGATCAGTCATTATTTATGTACTCAGTGCACTTTCCTGTGCACTGTGGCTTTCCATAATTTCATTTTTTGATCGCGCTTGTCATGGCCTGCGTAGCGAGCCTACAGGAGGATGGTTCCTGCTGTTTGAGCTCTGAGGGCTGGGGCGAAGTTATGTTTCAGTGGAGCAGCGCGACCTTTAGTTGCTGGAAAGGGAGACGCTGCTTCTCAGGGTCCTGCACAATGCAGCCGTTCAGGCCAGTGGCCTGGCAGCATCTCCTAGTCCAGAATGAAAGCTTTCTCTGTTCTCCGTTCAGCTGTGAAGTAGCCAGGCTGTGTATTATGTGGGTTACACTGGTCATGAAGCTAGAAAACCACGTTTTAAAGCCTGTTAAAGTGTGAAACTGCGATTTCCAAGCTTATCCGCTGCGGTTGTGTTGTGGCCCGTGAGCTGTGGTGTTCCTGCCCAGGGAAAGAGAGAGGATTCTCAGTGGGAGCTCCTCAGCTTGTTGAAAACCTACGAGTCGAGGTGCACAGCTAGTCGAGGGGGGGAGCCCTCCTCTTGGCTGCCTGTGTCTGCTCACTGCCCTGCTCTGCCCGTTGTCAGGTGAGGAGCCTGTGCTCTGATTCTCCACTTAATGAAGCAGCTCAGGTCTGGCTCAGTTCTGGCACTGGTCTGACTGGGGTCTTGTTGTAGTAGTAATAATCGCTTACACTTCTAGAGCTGTATTTTAGCGGCAGCCATATTGCTGTTTTGGGGAGAAGAACGGGGTAATGAAGCCGATTCATAGATGGGGATTTTTAGGAGGCCATGATTGGAAATTTGCCAGGACGCCGGCGTTACACCCCAACTCTTTTAGAGAAATGCCCTGGGATTTTTAATGACCACAGAGAGTCAGAACCTCAGTTTTACGTCTCATCCGAAGGACGGCGCTTTTTTACAGTGCAGTGTTTCCGTCACTATACTGGAACATTAGGACCCACACAGACTGCAGGGTGAGCGCCCCCTACTGGCCCCACTAACACCTCTTCCAGCAGCAGCCTCAGCTTTCCCAGGAGTCTCCCATCCAGGTACTTGCCAGGCTCACACCTGCTGGGCTTCAGTGGAGCTGCCAGCTGGGAGCTGCAGGGTGGTCTGGCTCGGGTCTGGATCCGGTCTGGCTTGGGTGTGGCTCTGGTGTGGCTCTGGTCTGACTCCAGTCTGGCAATGGCTTGGATCAGGTCTAGTTCGAGTCTGGTTTTTTGTTTGGATCGGGTCTGGTTCAGGTCTGGTTCAGGTCTGGCTTGGGTCTGCGTCAGGTCTGGCTCAGGTCTGGTTTGGGTCTAACTGAGGTCTGGCTCAGGTCTGGCTTGGGTCTGGCTCGGGATCAGATCTGGCTTGGGTCTGGATCAGTTCTGGTTCAGAACTGGCTCGGGTCTGGCTCAGGTCTGGTTTGGGTCTGGATCGAGTCTGGTTTTTTGTCTGGCTCGGGTCTGGATCAGGTCTAGTTCGGGTCTGGATCGATTCTGGTTTGGGTCTATCTTAGGTCTGGTTCTGCTCTTCCAGGAAAAGGGCACCTTCCTGCTGGTGCTGGATGCCAGGACCTTCACCGAGCTGGGCCGCGCGGAGGTGCCTGTGGACATGCCCTACGGCTTCCACGGGGTCTTCAACGCCAGCGAGGCGACGCCAACCGACCAACACTGACCTCGCCGACCTCGAGAACCCCCCACCAGCCCCTGCGGTGGGACCCCGGGTACCCAGCAGGTGGGCAGAGAGACCAACCTGGTTCAGATCGACCCGATACCCCCCCACCAGCTGGCTACAGCGCTGCCCGGCTGTGGAGCAGTTCTGACCTGGACCCTCTTTCTCCTCTAAAGTATAACAAACCACACCCCTGAGCCTTCAGAACAGTCGTCAGTGTGTTTTACAGCCATTACTCGTCAAGGCCATACAGTATGTGAAGCCTGCTGGCCTTACTCTCCCGGTAAGTTCGAAACCGCAGACCTGCTCAGGGTCTCAGAAGGGCAGTTACAAATGGCTGGGCAGCTTGTTCCACACCCCCACATCTCTTTGGGTATGTACATCTGCACGTTTCCCCTTGTGCCCTCTGGTTCATGCTTGGCTGTTGGCCCTGACTCAGGCTGGTGGTTTAGTAAGGCAAGCAGGCCCTCAGGCCTTTAACCCCTTCAGGGCGAGAGTCCTGCCCATCCTCCAATGCCCACACGTGCCTGGCGAGCTCAGGTAGAAATCGCCAACCTCGTTTCTTTTGCTGGTGGGGCCCAACTCTCTTTTTTCTTTAGTGACCTGGCAAATAACCTCTGCATTTGCAGCATAAAGTGAAACTCTTTATAAAAATGAAAATCGCCCTTAAATTCCTGCCTTGCTCGGCTGTGATTGAAAGACCTGAGGCGCCTGAGGGGTGAGGTGTTGACCGTTTTTGCTGTCAGATGCAGGCTGGGTGGTTTTGCTCAATTCCCCCGTGGTGGTCAGGCCCGTGCAGCTGGTACTGGCTCGGTCCAGGAGGAGGCCGGGGCTGGTTTGATGTTTCCCTGGTCTTATTCTGTTGCTGCTTGGCTGTTACAGAAGTGCCTGTTCACTGTCACTGTGACTTTTCTCCTGTATATGAATGAGCATAACAGTTTCTGAAAAAACCTCACGTAACCTTGTGTACTTTAAAAAAATAGTTTTTAGCAATATTATACTGTTTTACTTCTTGTAAAATGACTTTTAACTTTTACTGTGTTACTTCTTTTAATAAATCATGACATTAAAGGTCAGCTGTGTTGTTGCTTGTATAATGTGTGTCTTGTGTGCGTGTGTGTATTCCTAGATTTGTGAGGAAGAAATCTGGGAAGATGTCCTCTTGGATCTGTTAACTCCTAAGATAATTGTCAGCACTATTTGTTCTAGGTCAGCTTTCACTGCCTCTGGGGTTTTGTGCTATGTAGCAGTACTGTCTAAGTGTGCACTTACAGTGTGTATCTACTGTGTTGGTCTGATGTGTGTGTGTGGATCTGGCATGTGGCCAGTGCAGTCTGTACCTACATGTGCCCAGGAAAACACAGATAAGAAACACTGACCGGTGTCTTTACTGGTGAAGGCTGAATGCTCTCTCTATCCTCGTAAACACCTCTGTTTTCTGTCATAAAGCAGACTGTGGTGCAAGAGGAGGACAGTGTTTTAAGTGAAAAGTGGTGTTTGCCTGACTGTCAAAACTGTAAGACAGACTGTGCTGTAAAAACAAAGAGAGTTCAGAAAATGTGTTTTTTTTATACGTTGCCTTTTCAGGTTTTAATTTTCTGTCAACATACAGACTGTCAAACAGCACTTGCAGTGAGATAAGACTTCAACACACTGTGCTTAACATATAAGATAATAGCAATACGAAGTTTATTAAAACAAGGTCTTTATGATAATAAAATATTAGCTCATTTAAAAGTCTTGCATTTAAACAGGAGATTCATATAATAATTTTTAAAAGTATAATTGAAAATTCATGCAGACTCTCGTCACTCTCCTGTCACCAATATAACAATGTGAAAGTGCCTTTTTAATCTTGACTGCTGCTTGCTTGTTTTGGAAGAATCCAACAGCTAATCTCGTGCGCGCGAGGAAGGGTTCGGGGCTGGCCTGGCTCTGACAGTGAAAGCAGGCACTGCTGGCCACACCTGTGACGCTGGTTCAGATAGTCATTTAAAGTGCTGCCGGTGGAGGGGTTCAAAGTCTGCCAGAATTGCATTGCTGTGTCTGTTGTCCTGACTCACATTTCATTTCATCTCTGATGTGTATATAAGCCCTTACATCTATTATATATATGTATATAAGATCAATGCATCTGTTCTTGCAGTACTGAGCTGCACCTTCATGTCCAACTACGGTCTTCCAATCCTCCTCGCCTTAGTTAAAATACGGCAGGAGGGGTGAGCCCGAGGCCGTGCAACCACATCATCAGCAAATCTGAAAAGCAAATCTCGTGATCTTGTCGCCGATTCAGCACGCCCTGACCGGGCACAGGATCTGACATAAACTTCTAAATCTGTCCCGAGTGTTTTTGCAGAACGGCGCAGAGCGGCGCAGGCCGGCGCGCAGCCACACACGATGTGGGTGACAGAAGAGAGGAACGGATCTTGATCAGAAGGAAGAGGCTCCCTCAGAGGCCGCAGGTTAGGGGGGGGGGAAGGGGTCGGCCCTGGACAGTGGAGCGGGGGGGGATTAGGGCTGGACGTGCTCTAGCTCTGTAGCAGTGACCAGGAGAGGAGGCCAGAGTCGGGGCGCGACTCCGCAACTCCTGGGGGTACCTGAGCCCATCCGTCAGGTTGTCTAGAAGGACAGGCCCACCAGGGTCAGCGCCAGAACCAGGACAGGAGCCGCTGCGGAGCTGGGGCCGCCGGACGAGCTGGTCTCTGGGGATACAGACGGAAAACCGTTAGCCTGCGCTTGTTCTGCTCTGAGTGTGCTAGCTGTGATCTCTTAACCCATACTTCTGCTTTTAAGCTCTTTTTATTTATGTTCAGTTTGTTTGTTTATGGAAAAATAAAGAGTATCACACGGTTCCATATACAATAAGGAACAAATGTGAACAGTCGGCTTGACAGACTTGGAACCTAAGATGACTGTGTAGATCCAACCATCGCATAAAAAGAGGAAGAAAGAAAAAAGGAAACCAGAGATGTGAAAGAGACAAGCGAAGGGGGAAAAAAAGGTAGTGAAAGGACAGAAGGGGGAAGTTACACTTTTCAAGGTTTTTCATATGTCTTATTATTTAAAGGTAGCATTTTTATCCTTATAGTAGAATT